TTGAACCCGCCTAAACGGGTTCAGGGCCTGTCTATCTCCCCAGATGAAACTTTGCCCTTCGGGGAAGCTAAGTCCGGGCTCCTCTGGACGACTGTTATATTTAACAACCCCACACGCACTCTCACCAGGGATATATGTGACACAAGGCCGACCGTGGGTTCTCCGAGCCCGTAGGCTCGGCCAAAAATATTCCCTTTGAATCTTTGAGTTCGACAGAGATGAACAATCTGGCCGACTGTTCCCCCAAGGCCTTCTCTCCTACTAATGTTATAGTAGGCGGAAGAGTTTATAATAGACTCTTTAGAGGGAGGACACCACAACAGATTTAAGCGTGCTACTAGATTATCAACTAGGTCCCACCGTTTTACTGTTGAAATAGCTAAACTTACTTTTACTTTTCTCGCACTTCCTAGCCGTGGAACTCCTTTCATATTTCTTGCCTCCCTGATAACTACAATCTTCAAACATTTTAATGCAATCTTTTTTTCTTGAACCCTGTTCACTTTTTTTTTTTTTTGTCCTTCCCTTAATCCTCCCTAATCCAAATCTTTTTATTCTCTTTCAATTTCACTCACTTGCATTCTGCTGGGATTTTCACCTTGCTTGAGGTGAAATTATTAAAAAAAAAAACATGTGATCGAGCATTGACGTGCAAGAGCATTGGACATTTTCTGTTTACAAGTGCTGGACACATACGCTGCAATTACTGATGCATTTGATTGATTGCTTTGCGGTAGTTCTCAGCTGGGATGGTTTTTACAGGAAATGGATGGCTTCAGAATAATCTACGTTTAGGGGAACTTCACTGGAATCTATTTAGAAATGTCCTTTTGATTCAACCATTCTCTGCTAGAAAACATGGCTTTTTAACCCTGCGTTAATCTCCTGGGATTTTCGAAAATGGATAGTCCCCACATCAAATCAAAAAAAAAAAAAAACATTTGCCTGACCGTTGTCAATTATCATGTAAAAGTAGCAAATACGTTATTTTAATTTTTATTCATAGTGTTTTTTCCAAGCGTAGATCAGATGTGGCACAAGGCCGAAAGTATGGAGCACTCAGTGAGGATCGAACTCACTACGCAGTCGTAATTGTCCTAGCGAGACAAGCCTGCTAACCATTGCACCGCCTCGAGGTGCTATATGATTTTCCAAGCGTAGCTTAGACGTGGCACAAGGCCGAAATTATGGGGCTCCAAGTGAGGATCGAAGTCACTACTCAGTTGTAATTGTTCTAGCCAGACAAGCTTGATAACCATTACAACAAATGGAGGTGTCCTATGATTTCCCAAGCCGTAGCTTAGATGTGGCACAAGGCCAAAAGTAGGGGGCACCCAGTGAGGATTGAACTCACTACTCAGTCGTAATTGTTCTAGCGAGACAAACTTGCTAACCATTACACTACCTCGAGGTTCCCCTTCCGTCACACCACATATCTTCTTCACGTATCTCCATAGACCCTGTCTCTCCATAGAGTGGTTCTTGGTATTTGTACAGGATGAACATCATTTTGAAAGAGAAAATATTTCCCTGGATGTTGTCGGTTGTCATATAGGATCCATTTATCGTCACAGACTTAACATGGCTTCCCTCTGTGGCACCCTGCATTATTAGAAAACTGAAAGGAGATATTCATAAATATATGATTTATTTTTTTTTCGGTTTGTTAACCAGTTGATAGTTATTTAGAGATGAAGAATATTTGGGTTTTGAGAATAATTCTTTAATTGCATTTAGGCGATCCGAAAGAAAGAAAAGAAGGAGGAAGGAAAAAGAAAGAAAAATAGATGGTACAAAACCCGGTCATAAGAACACACGCTTAAACTGACACACAACAGGTGTCAAAAGATATCTAGGTCAAAGTACCTGACCGAAATCCACGAAAAATGGAAGTTGTTATAATTGGTTGAAGAAATAGAGTTTAGAGATAATAAAAAGAAAGAAAAGGAAAGACAGAAACATAATACAAAACCCGGTCATAAGCACACACGCTTAAACTGACACATAACAGGTGTCAAAAGATATCTAGGTCAAAGTACCTGACCGAAATCCACGAAGGATGGAAGTTTGTTAAAGTTGGCTGAAGAAATAAAATTTTAGGGACAATGAAAGAATATTGATAAGCAACAAATGAAAAGGATGTCACTAAGATGATAGGTAACAGATGGGGAAGTTTATCTAAGGATATACAGACAAATCATTAATACAAGAACCCAGACCATTTCTAGAGTTGAAAATAAAACCACCCAAGAAAAATTAGAAAATATTTTTATTTTAGATAATTAAGATTTTGTTAACAGGCTCCGAGCGAAAGAAAGAGGTGAAATATTTGTTTTAGCTCGCGAAAGACGCCGACAGGCCTAGAAAATTCTTTCCTTAAGTCGCATCTAATTAGCGGTAGGCTGTTTTGACAGATACCGCGTGTGAAAGAAACCAATCGTCATTTTCGTACGAAAAGGACAATTTGGATTTTGTTTTTTTTAAGCAAGGTGTTTCTTTC